ATATTTACAGCCTTGTTACTGACTATCTCACATATCTGCTGTTATTATTATCAAACATGTTCAGGTCTACAATTTTGATATGGTGTCCCCTTAATTTAAGACTTGTCAATACTAGACTTATAAAAAATATCTATTATAATACAAACATCCAGTTCTTCTTTTTCAATGTAACCGTTTTTGTCAGTGTCATACTTTAACCATATCTAAAAACAGACAAATCATAGTGTATTTTGTGTTAATTTCAAATGCTACGGTTAAAATTCAACATCACTTTCAAAGTATCAAAAATTTTATTTAGTTATTGTAAAATGGGTAATACACCAGGAGAAAATCGTGTACATCGTGTATAGGATCCGGGATTGAACATCAGAAATGATGGTACGTTATTGTATTTCAGCCCTAAACTGAAACGCTAACGTACGCAGGTAGGGCAGCGATGGACATTCCCGGAGTGTCAATCAGACTTAACAACCAGCCCAACCAGAATTGAGCTGCAAATACGCGCATGTCCCACAACGTATGTGTTTTCCCAAAAATACAGTCAGAAGTGCGGTTACGCTGTTGTTTAGTCGGACCTTTACCAACAATATCCAAGGTGTGGGACATTGAATTAAACCACAGACCAAGCTATGTGAGGATCGCTACGGTGTAGTGCACATCCAGTCGTCAGCACCAGTATAGCCAACTGTGAGTTAAGCTTAGTACAACAGGGAGATGTAAAAAAATTATTATTTTTTAGATGCACACCCAGTCGTTGGCACCAGTTTAGTCGACTGTGAGCTAAGCTTAGTGCAAGCAGGGAGATGTAAAAAAACTTTTTTTTTACATCTCCCTGGTACAAGCTAAATAGGCTATGTAGACCTAAAGATATTCTTTAAAACATAATAATTATACTCACACAAACAGTCTAGTATAATTCAACTATTTTTAATGTATCGCAACTTATTTTTCAGAGGCATTAGTTAATTAATAATAAGAATTATAATGCAAAAATATATATTTTATTCATTCATTTTTAATATATATTTTTAATGTATCGCAAATTATTTTTTTTTCAAAAACATTAATTAATCATTAGTTATTGCAAAAATTTGTTGACATCAATCTAGAGTACGGTTAATAACACGGATTACGTAACTTTTTACTTACTTTCATAAAATCTGCGCTGTGTATTCCAGTCTCTGAGTGGAATTTCCCCAAAAATGTAGACTCTGCCATTGTGGAAATCTAAAATTGAGCATGCTTAACATTAGACAGGTGTTACAACATTATTGCATTGTATGTACAATACTAGGAAGGATTTAAATAAGTTAAGTAAGCACTCCAGGTCCATTGAATCAGGCCTACTACCGAACTATAATCTGCGGCGTATGGAGGTGCGCCTCCGCGTCTTAAAAACCGCATACCACCTTATTTTGCGAGCTAGCTTCCCTCACTTAATCCCGGAGCCCTCCCACTTCACCTTTGAGCCCAAAAGTTCCACCCATTTCAAGACCCCTAGACATGCCACTGCCTATAATAGTTGTGACCCACTCTAGGAAAAACAGGCTCTTGTATCAAAAAATGAAAAATGGCATTATATCTTTTTTATCTAGAGGTGAAAACCTGATAATTGACTCACAAATAATTATTAAAAACGGATAAAAATTAACGAAGATATGATAATTTATATTTTCAGTTCAACATGGATTAAAATGAACAATACGTAGGAATTTAAGCTAAATTGAGGATTTTGTTTTCGATGACTGGTTTGCTAGAGTCAGTCACAATTTGTCTAATAATAGGATCGAATTTTGATCAGTGTAAATTTAACAATAAGATTATTAATAACGATCGCATTGCAGACACACAAACTACGGTCCATTTCATCGTTCCAGAATTGTGCCGACATAATGTCCAGGGGCGGATCCAGAGATGTCCAAAAGGGGGGGCCGAAATGGGGGGCCGAAATTTGGGCCAATCGAGACAACATTGTCCTAGGGGGTCCGGGGGCATGCCCCCGCGAAAATGTTGTGTTCTAGACGCCCGAAAATAACATTTGAGGCGTTGTGGGCTATCATTTTTTTCTTTTTCTTTCTTTTTTCCCCTTTTTTTTCACCTCCCAAAAGGCGGGGGGGGGCCCCCTAAAATCCGCCCCTGATGTCCGAACCAATCGGGTGGCCTATGCCCTTCGGTCATTATTTTTGAAGTGAATTTCCTTGGAACAATGAGAAGAGATATTTTGGTTTAGGATAATATTTTGTACTTTAGCAATAATATTAGTAACAACGGCGTATCAGAAAGTGTGGGGAGTAAGCTGGCAAAACCTGGTGATATAAGGTGATGATTTTTAACTATGTAGCCTAATGTTTTTAGTCAGCTAATTCCCAGTGGAAATAGCTTGAGAGTGCCACATTTTTGGGGATAATATCCCCACCCCGTAGGTAAGTCACTGATTAGTTTTAGTCCAACGGCTACAGTGGCGTCCGACGACAGTGGATTCATGCTAGTTCTCATGGGGAGGGCGTGGAATTTGTTCATTGATAGGCCTACCTCACTAGCGCTACCACTGACAGCTGCAGTCAAACCTCCTCCTACGCCTTTTTGAAAATGTGGCAAAGTATTCCATGTTCACATCCGACACTAACTACCAATTTTAATTCGTACAGTATTGTTGTGCAACAACATGATTAAGTCCCTTATAACCTACCTCTAATGGGACGTTAAAATGTTGAAATCATACTTACAAACACGATATTGTTGTTCTAAAAAGATTGGACTAAACACGACAACTGACTCGACTTCTGGAATTCAGTAAGCCCTAAACTAAAGAAGGTTTAAGGAAGGACCAAATACAAAACACAAAATGACCTCGTTAAAATACCTGACACACACTTAAATACTGTTAATTTCGTCGTAAATCGTAATCTCACATTCTCATTATTATTGAAATTATTATTGTTGCTTCAATTCACATGTATACTGAGTTCAGATTTGTAGTCTTTGTTATAAAGAAAAATGTCCACCTATACTTAACTCGCATCACTGAACTCTGTAAACACAAATTTAACAAGTAGATTGTATTTGCCACTGAAGACTTTTCTATCAAGTATAATTACATTTTCAACTTTATTATTATTATTATTATTATTATTATTATTATTATTATTATCATTATTATTATTATTATTATTATTATTAATATTATTATTATTATTAATATTATTATTATTATTATCATTATTATTATTATTATTATTATTATTATCATTATTATTATTATTATTATTATTATTATTATTATTATTATTATTATTATGCTACTTAAATCTACCTTAAGGGGAACTTAGACAATGGAGAAATTAGAGAAAAAGTAACGACGTTAAGTGGAAAATAACACAAATTAAATTCAACTTAAGTCCGATTTAGAGAAATTATTATTGTTGTTGTTGTTGCCCTTTTTAATGATTGATTTTTCATTGTACTTAGCCTAGTAATGGGTTTTAATATACAGCGCTTTGATATTTTTTGTGAAGGCGCTATATAAATGTTTTTTTTAATAATAATAAATATAATAACTATATACAGGGATGAAAAATTAGCGATGTAATTTAAAATGAAAATAAATAATTATTATTAAGAAGCATTTATATAGCGCCTTTACAAATGATATTTAAGCGCTGTACAATAAAACCCCATTAATATTCCAAAGATAAAGCTAGTGCAATGAAAAATCAATCAATAAAAACGGCAAATACAAATGTCTACCTCATTAAATTTTCCACAAATATTGATAGTTATTGCGATAAAATTGCAACAATAAAACACAATGTATAAGGTATAAGACTAAGGATTTGTTCACAATCTTCTTAATTCACACCGTCGTGTGGTTGGACGTGTTATCGTTGATAAATACCAATATATTTTAATCCTTTAATTCTTGTCGCAATCTTCGTAAGTTACACCAAGGTAATTCAATTTCTTTTATTGATACACACCGTTGCATGCCCCCTCATTCAAACTCCAATAACCTCAATAAATCTCATACAAACCTCTCAAACAGTACACTCACTCGCCAGTATACAAATTTGTTTTAATCCACCACTCTGGTCCGTCGTGTCTCCAGTGACACTTTTCCTCACCCAGCCCCTGTAGTCTAAGATCAGAAGACTCTTCACTAATTGAATAATATAATATCAATAATAATAATAATATTAATAATAATAATAATAGATTAAATACATGATATTACATTTAAGCATACGATCAATGTCAACTATTTATTTAAATTTAGAGTGTATTAATGTAGTATAGCCATTCACTTACGAAAATATTTAAATATATCTTAATCAGTACTTCGATGACAATTCCTGACAAGGATGGTTCATGCAGTAATTCGAAATAGGCCTCTTCGGGTGGTTTCGCGGAAATGAACTGGCCACACTGCAACCATCGGCTCCTAACAGCTTAATCGCCTACTTTCAACAATGAATACGGACAATCATCAAGTTTATATAATATGATATAATAATAGGCCTATACCGTAATCGTAGTGGCTCCAGAAATTTTCCGATAGGGGTGGGGGAGGTGAGTGGTCCGCCACGTCTGACAGTGGGTCCGAACCAAGGAGCTGGCCATGGACTAAGCCTCGGTCAGGGTCCCGGAAGAAAAATCGCTTGTTTGGCTCATGGGGAGAGTTTTTATGGCTTAGTATTGCCCACAATTGTGCTTTAGGACCACTTAGTGATTGTCAATTAAAATAACGTTAATTAATTATATCATTGTTTTCAATAGTACCTGAATCAATATCAAACTGTATATTGAATAGTTAATGTGAGAAATAATTTTTGGACAATACAAAAAGATTGTTTTTTTTTTAAATTGTTAGTATCACTATAAACGAAAAAAATATATATATTTCACAGAAATAAAACAAATGGCTGTATAAAACAAAATAACAAGAACAGAAATAACATATATATGTAAATGTGGTGTAGGCTAATAGTAGCTTCATTCATTCAAAGACAGTTGTGCTATTGAAATGCTATGTCAGAGCGAGTGCAAATTATGACGATAAACAGAAAACAAAACAGATGCTTGGCTATTAATACTGTCTGTAGGCCTATCATGTTGTAGGTAACTGACATGATATTTTCATGACAGGGCCAGATTGCTTTTGGTAGCTTCTATCGCATCAGTGCCCAATTTCGAAAACTCGTATGATTATGCTGAAGACGATGGGTCTTTAACAGGAAACATTCTATAAATGAATGAAAGAACGATTATTAGAAAACCACATTAACTAATTACTAATCTCTTTCCTAAAAATCATCATATGAGCAGAATAAAGCGTAAAGCTAGAAGATAATATCGTATATTTATAAAGAATATGTTAAAACGTCTCACGACCTACAATGATATAGGGGCCTATAATATTTTGGCTTGCATTTAAACAATTCATCTTAAATAGATTACGCGCATCAGCTATCTATCATGCAATTTGCTAGAATATCTTGGTTCACTTCTATTCACACTAAAGTCTAAACGATTTGAGTAAACACAATCAATAAGCCAGTCATCAGTCGATTTTGAGTATGATCTACTTGCAATAAGATGAGCAAAATATGGTTGACAGCCAAACATGTACTAGAAAAAAGCGCTTGTGAAAGCAACTCCAAACGTGCTTGTAGCCTTTATGCTGCAAATTGGTCCAGTTCTGTTTTCAGCATTTCGTCCCGATAAACTCTTTGCTTAAGAACAGGTGAAGAAGTTAATTCTAATGAGGCAACTCGCCTAAGTTGTTCTCTTGTGAACCTGGATATTAGTTTCACCAGGCAAAGCAGCATTCACATAGGATCCGAACCGAAATTCAGACCGTGTTTCCGATGCGCTGAACGCCAGTGTTCCTATTATTATACACTGATTCGATTTTCGGATAGGTTCGGTAGCCTTTCCGATCCGAATATTTGGATTCGGTGTATGAATGCAGCCTTAATGCGTGTCCACTGGAATGTTGTGTAATAAAATGTAATTAAAGGCCGGGTCCTCTACCCCCCTCGCTATTGTCATCTGATGTTCAAATGTTCATATAGGGCCTACGTTTAATAAGTAGGTTTCTAAGTAACATTAATTTCAATGTTGTTAAATGATATGCCTGTGCATTAGCAATAAAATGACTGAATGAATACTGAACATTAAATGTCTTACTTGAGCATTTCTTTAACGTCCAATCTTCCATCGGTATTTGAGTCGAAAAATGTCATCTGTAAGTTTAATAATATATTATTATTTGTCAGGTAAGTCTATCACTGGACCTTTCCAGCCCCGTCCCTTGGATATTTTGGTAAGGTCCCACTTACGTTGTGGGCATAGAGCTAATAAACTACCGTAAACGCTCGAATAAGCGCCGCGGCGCTTACAAAATTGTGGAGGCTTCAGTGCGGCGCTTATTCAAGAGCGGCGCTTATTCGAGCATTTGGTATTCTTATACCTTTATGGTTGTGGGACAACACGTGAGATTGTTAAACGCGTGTGCGTATTCCTGGCCATGTTCCGATTGGTCAGCGCTTGTTAAGTTTGATTGACAATCCTGAAAGCTCCATTCTTTGTCTAGTATAATAATCGCCGCTAATTACCGGTATATATTAGTTTAAATGTGTGTGGTAAAATGAGAAACCTCCCCATCCACCTCCCCCCACCAAATATATAATAACATATTGCATTACTATTTTTTTAAAATCACCAATTAATTTGTCGACTTACAATTTAAATAAATCACTAGGCCAATATACTCACAATATGTTTTTTATATGCTTGCATTGAGGCAGGCGTGACTTCTTCATCAGCTTGCATCATAAGGTCCTTAATTAGGTTCTAAATTAAGAAGAACACTTTCTATTTTTAATTTGATTTTGTTTTTGAAGATAATAATATTTAAAAATGATACTTTGGTCACGAAAATAATATTAATAATAATAATAGCCTAATAAAAATAATAGCCTAATAATAATAATAGCCTAATAATAATAATAATAATAATAATAATAATAATAATAATAATAATAATAATAATAATAATAATAATAATAATAAGATGACGTAGCTTCGACCCAAACTACGCCTTATTGCCCATTTAAAATAACACATTCACGATTTTTGCTACGGCAGAGCACGTTTTGTCAAATTTTGAAAAGTGTCGTCGTACTAAATTTCGTGGTCAATCGTTACACTAGATACGATATGATCCTGATGATGACAATTAGTGTCGAAATATTGAATCCGATATTGGAGTCTGTATTACACTATCTTGTTTGAGACATGACACGTTACAACAACGACTCGCTTTGGTATCCAATTGTAATGTAAACGTTTATTTTTCAACAATGAGCTCCGTCATCGTTTCGTTATCGTGACGTTATTGTATTTATTGTAACTGTAGCTTTAGAATTCAAACACAAGAAAACAAAGTCCTGCGTAGAAGACTAATTGACGTCATTATCCTAGTTCTAACTGATGTCGTGAAATTGAAAGCTCCGTAATATTGTTCTTACTTCTTACCTCCAATTCCCCTTGTTCAATGTAACCGTTTTCATCAGTATCATAGTTTTTCCATATCTATGTACCGGTAATGAAATTAAAACATTTATTAGTTTGCAGCGTACGTTCTGTCCACACTACACAATATATAGGCCTATGTGACAACAGTGATTTTCCCATATTTGGATGTACAGTAATATAATAATTTCATCATGCCTATGGCACATCACACATTGTCACACAAAATTCGATAATGTGGACACAAGTTAGGCGTACATTCGTCAGGGTCGATTCCGACTGCCACCGAGGGTTAACAGCTGGCAGACTCAGGCGCCAGGCTTATGCTCTTGTTATTAAACATACTAGGTAGGATAACATAATTATACAGACGAGATGATACCGCTGTTTTACAATATATGGTCCTGCAAAGATACAATACAATAAACAATATACATTAAGGCTACCTAAAACAATAATATATACAATACAAAGAGTAAAACAGGAAGACTAACAAAAAACAACAATAAATATCAATAATTAGCAAGACTAAACAATAATATAAATAATAAACCGTAAAGCGCCTAATGGACCGCAGATCTCTCTAGGCGCTTAAACTATTATGGTGGAAACTATCCACGCCGGACACCAACCCGCTAATTCTGAGTCTAGATTTCAGGTAAAGAGTAAAGCTTAACTACATCACTTAAAAAACTATAACAATTATTCATTTTAATTTGTTCACTTGGATTTTGAAATCTGATGATACTAACAAATTTAATTAGTTCATTGTCTTCTCAATAGGACGCATGCATACAGAGTTGCAATAGACATACAATGTAAACTAGAATCCGGTAATAAACTAATGGCCCTATTTAGAAATCACAATAATTTCCTATTAAGAATTATTCGTTGAATACAAAAATCGGGATTTTAAAGACACAGCTACACTGAACTTTATATACAATACGGATAAAATTTTAAGTAATTGCAATATATATTAAGAAGTCAATCGAGACAGCGAAGCTAAACCTTACTTTCTGGAAGTCCTTGCTGCTGATACCTGCTTCCAAGTGAAATTTTGATAGAAAGTCTTTAGATTCTGCCATTGTACAAATCTGAAATTAAGCATGCTTAACATTATACAGGTGCTACTACATTGCATTGTATGTACACAGTGGTGGATTTAAGGTGGGCCCTGTCCCCTACCCCTAAAATCTAAAATTATAACAAAAATTGAGAAAAAAAGAAAATTAGGCATATATTCAAATTTAAGTTTGAGAGTGCCTTGAGGTGCCATAATCATAAATTTAGATCCTCCATCTGTGACAGTCCCTTCCTGAGCCCCCTTTATTTCAAATTCCTGGATCCGCCACTGTACAATACTAAGGATTGGGGTAGGCCTATTGGGCCATATGCCTACTACGAGTAGGCCTAATAATTTGCTTAGCAGCTAGTGTAAATTTAACAATAACATTGTTATTGAATAAAGGCCAAATCAGACAGCGTCGGCCGACGCAGCCTGACCCGATTTATCGTCGGGGACAGTCTTAAGCCGTCGTGAGAAATATTAAACACGTTTAATATTCTACTACGCGACTGCCCCCGACGCACACCATCGCGTCTGCGTTTAACATGGTTTAACTCACACAGGCCCGACGCGATAACAAATCGCGTCGGGCTGCGTCGTACGACGCTGTCTGAGTTGGCCTTAACGAGCATGCATTTCAGACACACACAATCTACGGTCCATTCCAGTTGTGGTTCCAGAAATGTGCCGATATAATGTCTAATACGGTAATGTCCTACTGAGTTCGAAACCAATGGGTAACCTAAGGCCTCCGGTCATTTTGTGGTGGGGGAGGGGGGTGAAACGATTTGGAATAATGAGAAGAGATGTGCTTTAGGATAGTAAATTTAACTTCAGCCATATTATTTGGAACACTGGTGTATCAGGAGTGAGTGAGTCATTAGCAGGCAAAACCTGGTGGTAAGAAGTGATGATTTTTAATCCCAAAGTTTTAGTCAATTAATACCCAGGAGAGCCTAAAAAACAATATTTTTTGGGTGGGGTCACCCAAAGTCGCACCTAAAATTCATAGACACGCCACTTATTAGAAAGTGCAATCAATAATTTTGGTTGGATCGGCAAATTAATGTTTTTAGTTTAAAGAACTAACTAACTTAAAGGGGGTGGGGGTTGAGGTGGAGGGATTGAGTAGATTATTCACGCCACGCTAGCCCTACCACTAACGTACCCAAACCTCCTGCCGCACATTGTTTAGTTTACTGCGCTTGCATAGATATACTCTACCCCTAAGCTAATGGAATGTTAATATAATGTTGAAATCATACTTACAAATACGATATTGATGTTCTACAACAATTGGAAACACGAACCGACTTGGGATAGAAGGACGGGCCAAATACAAAACACAACACGACCTCGTTAAAATACCTGATCTCATATTCTCATTATTATTGAAATAATCATTGTTGCTTCACATGTATACCCAATAGAATTCAGATTTGTAGTCTTTGTCATAAAGAATAATATCCACTGTACTTGGTTTTAACTCGCATCACCGAACATATCTAACAAGTAAATTGTATTTGCCAATGAAAACATTTCCATCCCGTATAATTATATTTTCACTATTATTTTCATCATGATTATTATTTTCTGGTATTATATTTTCCATTACCTGTTGTGAAGTCGAATTATATAGGAAGTTGTAGCTGGCTAAAATTGACTTGCAACAACATTTCATTAATCAAATCACACCATATACATAGGCGTATTACATAGTGTAGAAATGTCTCCATTTATATATTAAACATATTTAAGCAGGATAACATATTATTTAAGATATTCTCCATATTATTATTATAAGCTTAGTAATGATAGGCCTATGCCATTTGCTGCAACCGACTTACTTTTAAAGTTATGAGTAAAAGTAAGGTGGCTTGTACTAAAGTCGCCTACAATACTGTCGTATTTCTTATGCTATTTGCTCAGTTTAACATTGAACGACAGTGCCTAGTTTTGGGATGGCAAGCCTCACATACAGACGAGATGGTAACCCTATCTGACATGGTCCTGCAGAGATGATACAACCATGGAGGAATTATTTCTCCATGATAAAACAAACAGGAAGGCAACCTAATACAATACTATCACAAGCGGGAAGGTGCAATACTATTTATACATTGTACATGCTAGGGCGTAATCTGTACTTCCATCAAGAAGTTTCCATATTTGTTTAATAAGATCAATCTCACAATAATATATAAAAACAAAATTATTTTTTATTTTTTTTGTAACCTTAACAGAATGTTTTTATTTTTTTTAGACGTATAGTTCTAACGCAGATTGCAGTCCATACAGGGTTGGATTGTTATTTAAAAGAGATTCATTTAGTGTTTCTGCCAATTTATTTAGGACTGCTAATTAAGGATGTAAATTTTGTACCCAATAGTTTCATTCAATTGTTAAATTTGGTCATTCCAGGTAAAATTTTCATCAATATGAAGTCGTAAATAATGGATGTGTTTTACCACATGGAGGGATGAATTCACTACCATCATAAATGTTTAACGAGATACTTAGTATTTATCGGGATTCGAATCCAACACCTTCCGATTACCGTTCGGATAGCCCACTCTACCAACTGAGTTATGAGCCCAAGTGGTATACACCCTTGGATTTTCCCATTAGGACACGTTTTTTTGCAGT